TGTCTTAGGGAAGAAAGCTTTTAGATGTGCAGCTCCACTAACTTGGAACAGTCTGCAAAAAGAATGGAAAATTACCAATCTGGTACCACTACATGTTTTTAAAGCTCGGTTGGATACTACACAATCAGATGCTGTTGGTACCTGTACATGTGGATAGATATGTAAATTGTAATCCCTGTAATTTTTGCTGTATGATGTCCTTCTGTTGTTCTGTTGTTTATGTTTTTATGTCTTCATGTGGAACCTATACTGCTGCAGGTCTCCCTTGAAAAAGAGATCAATGTTCTCAATGGGATTTCACCTGGATAAATAAAGGTTTTGAATTTGAATTGAATTAAGAAAGGCCAACAATAGCAAGTTCACTTTCAAAGCACAGTATAGGAGAATGTAAAGTAGAAGAGCTATGTAGTTTTCAATAGTACTCATACCTTGCCTTTAATGTGCCATTCACTCGTGACTTTTTGTGTAAAATATGTGTGACATTTTGGAAAATATGCATGAAAACCATCATACATGTATCTCCCGGTTTTGTGTTTTATTGGGTTTACGGGTCCTGGGTATACATGTACGTCTCAATTTGACTTTTGGAGATGAGAGTGATTCCTCACATCTGTCTGTTGTGACTCGACAGTTATGTTAGGTTAAGTTATGTTTTTTACTTTAGTCTTGTGTTTTGATCTTGTCACTTCCTGTTTTTATTTTGAAAGTAATCCTTCGCTCTCATTCCATATCTCACATTTCCTGCCTTTGTGTGTTTCCCGCCCTTGAGATTGCTTGGCCTTGCCCTGATAGTTTTCACCTGTACCCATCCTCCTCACCTATAAATAGCCCTCGTGTTTCTTTGTTCCCTTGTCAGTTCGTTATGTTTCATGTCGTGAGAACCTGGGCCTTTTGACTTCTGAAACTTTACTTTGGGAAATATACCTTTTGTCAAGTCAGTTTTGTTTTGAAGTATACGTCTTAGTTTTTGTTATTTAACTACTTTCTATTTTTGGAAAGTACGACTTAGTTTTTGTTATTAAACAACATTCTATTTTTGGACAAGTGTCTCCGAGTTCTGCTTTTGGGTCCTGTGTCCTGTGTCTCAGTTCATAACACTGTCTCTGCGTAGGCCAGTATAAAGTGCTTTCCTCAAGTTATACACTACCACTAATTTGCTTCTTCATCTTCTTTCTTTAATGTTTTCGTCTTGGGGTCAAAACAGATCCATTAGAGTGTGTTTTACCGCAAGTAAAGCATGTGAAGTACTCACATGCATGTGTACAACAATACAACCAAGGCAAGGAAAAACATCCACATCTGTTGTTTTAAAGTGGTGCCACAAACAGGGAGGTGAAGATGGAAAAATCCAAGTCCAGAGTCAAACTCGTGATCGAAAGCTGAGTCATTCACGTAATTATAGTTTCCACGCCTACGCCTTTAAAAGTTTTTGTTTGTTTATATTGTTTTCACCTCAGGCCACATGAAAGACAAATCTTCTCTGACAGGGCGGGATCATTACTCGGCTCATGTCAACACACGCCATTTATTAATTCACAACCAGTGATCACAAGCATTGCATATGAGATGCAACACGCGCATATCGTGCCATTAAATGGACTTCCTTCTTGACATTCCATTGTTGAAAGGATGAATAAGAAGAATGACTTATGACTAAACTGTAACTCTTGCATCATGCTGATTCCATTGAAGCTCGGCCGGGTTTTACCTGTGGGAAAAAAGAAAAGAAAAGTGCACTGTCATCCTTTATAATGTGGGACGTAAAGGGGTTTTTCTCAATATTATTGTTTCATTGGCTACCAAGGAAATGGGAGTGCGTAAAAAGATGATAACCGGTTTTGCTATAGTGGTTGGTTTTATTTATGAGCTGCCTACAGTTTACACGCAATGCTTTTACAAGCTGTCACTCTGCTCATGTTTTCCCCTCCTGCTTGTGCAGATGACGTTACAGTGCCCAGATGAAGCATGTGATGATGGGGTCTGTATATGGCGCTCGGTGATAAACAAAGCAGAGATAATGCACTGCTAATGGAAGTGTGAGTCACCTAGAAGAAGCGGTTAGTCTCACCACACCTTCTCCCCGGTGGCACTTATACTCTTACGAAGATGATGCATTTGTTTGTTTGCATTTAGACGATGTGATTGCATTTGCATCCGAGATTCTTCTGACATATGCAGCAGAAGGGTCTGACATTTGTTACACATTATCATAATGTCTTATTTAAGCTCTTCAAAGGGAACCTCTGCTGTGTTGTGACTATGACCTTTAAAGCAGAACATGAAGGGAAGAAGGAAAGTAAGAGAAAGAAGAAATAAAGGATAAACAGGCATGAGAGCGCACACATAAACATGATTGACCACATGTCCTAACACCCCTCTGTCTCTCAGAGCTTGATCCCAGCAGTCTGAACACCAGGTAGTGTTCAGGGTTACTGTTACCTGTACAAAAACACGTGATCAGCAACCTAATCTAAGAATTCAAATATAAAAGTAATGTAACCTGATTACTTTCTGTTACTTTTGGATTACCTCGATATCAAATGCAATGCAACTAAATACAAGAGATATTTAATATGAATAAGATGTGTTTTACTTAAGTGTACAAACCATAAAGCAGATTCAGGCAGTAGGCGTGTAGATTCACACTTAAAGAGCCTGTGACAGCCTCCCAACAACTGTTGCGCAATGAAATATTGGGCTAGTAATCTCGAACCGTCAGCTTAAAAAAGAAGGTGCGATACCGTTCAGATAAATATCAATAATTTCAAACATCGCGGGTAAATTCCTTCGACTCATTTTGAAGTTTTGGGGGAAGCCGGAAGTGACGTCAAACACGGACAAAGTGTGTTGTCATGCATAGAAATGGTGAATTACTGAGTTTAGGCACGTTAATAACGTTTTAATGAAGTTGACTACAGTATATTCATATTTTTCAGTGCTTTCATGTCAATTTGGCGAACATAAACATAAATGATCGTGGTGAAGATGATGATTAAATTAGGATTAAAAATCGGTAGNCGCCCCACTCCGGTGATCAGCTCAGGGGCCTCAACGCTTACTTGGCACTAATTCTACTGGTGGCAAACGGTGGTATCCCATGGACAACACGCCGGCAATATGATTACTTTTTTTCTGCTGAGGACTGATGCCAACACCATGTCACATCGTCAGCATCGCGCATGGACATGCCCTGTCTCTTGATGTCTGGAGCAGCGAGGCATGTATGTGTCCTGTTGTGTGTGTGTGTGTGTGTGGTGTGTGTGTGTGTGGGTGTGTGTGTGTGTGTGTGTGTTGTGTGTGTGGTGTGGTGTTGTGTGTGTTGTTGTGTGTGTGTTTGTTGAGGAGGAGTAGTGGGTGTCCTTGTTGCTCTCTGCACTCCTGCTATCATTACTTGCAGGTCTAAGCATGCCAATATTCTTTTTAAATGTTAGCGTAACACCTTGAAATCTTCTCTTGCACACATGCACAATATGAAAGGCAACAACCCCCCCCATACAACTCAATAACTCTGACACCAACACACCACCACCACCCACCACCCACCACACACACACACACACACACACACACACACACACACACACACACACACACACACACACACACACCAACACACAACACACACACACACACGACACACACAACACACACACACACACACACACACACACTCAATAACTCTGACACACACACACACACACACACACACACACACACACACACACACACACACACACACACACACACACACACACACACACACACACACACACACACACACACAATGAGCAACAAGTCTGCGAGGCTGCCTGAGCGACTTATATAATAAACCTCTCCTGATCTTCACGCCTCAGAGGTGAACCTGAACAGTCCGAAACCAGTTTAAATATTAGAATTAAATCAGAAAACGGCTGTGAAATAATGTATATGCATTTAGAAATTCACAGATCTTCATGCTAAAATCTGCTACTTTTGTCACAAATACTCTGTAGCTGTAACCATGCCATGTTTCCTGCATGAAAAAAGCACTGTATAACTAATATAACCTGTCCAATAATAGTGTAATATGGTTGTAATAAAGTTGTATTAATGTGTGATATGGGTGTAATAACAGTGAAATATAGAAAATAGTAATCAATTAATTTTCCAAAACATTTAAATATGATGGCCCATATAAGAGTTTAGAAAGTGTTAAAATTACACAAATTGAGAACGAGTGCATCTCAAATGGCAACTATTCTCACCCCTACATTCAAAGTAACATCCCTGAGTTTGGGCTGTTATATCGCATGGTTGGCATGGAAACAAGCACACGGTATATGATTAACCCAAACACCTCTATTTTCTCAGCGGCCAATTTTCTATATGCAACCGAGTGCACACAAAGCTGACAAAATATTTTCACAACACATTTTTTCCCAAATGCATACTTTTTAAGAGGATGCATACAAATGTCTACTTGGGTAACTTCAAACTCTTTTCATCCTCCCTCAAACAACGCTTTGATCCTACCGACATAAAGAGTGCACTTTGTATTTGAGAGTTCGCTGACGGTGTTATACAATAAGATAATGAGTGCCATTCTATGTTTTCCTAGAACGCAACATTTGGTACTAAAGCGCGGGGCAAAAATATACATCCATCCATTTTGTTTTAGCTTTTTTACCGTTAGTATAATGCATGAGTGCTATTCATTAGTCCACTGGGGCTGCATTTAAGGGAACTATTGATAAAGCAATTGTTAACGGCATGCTATTGGCAAAAGCAGCCCAAAGCAGCTAGCATTTATGATACGTTATCCATCTATGTCTATTTTGAATTAAAACACATCTTAGTGAGAATGTCTAATGTGCAACAAACAAGCCTAATAAAGATATACATTAATAACCCTATTTAAAAAATAAAGAAAAAGGCAAATTCAGGGCGCACATTTATTTTTTAAATATGTGTTCTTTCTAACAAAAGCAAACAACAGAAACTCATATATGAGTCATAGCCGTAGCAGTCTGATGGCCCTCCTGTAACTGTATAGAGATAATGAAAGTGAGAATAACTGTGCTAGGGTACGCAAGCTTCAGCCTGCACATCCCATAACACCTTACAATATGGCAGAAGTGTGCCTGAGCAGACTTTTTATCAGACGTGAACAAAGGTCAAAGCCACAGTGCCATAATGATAATCCCTTTTTCACGCGCCCTGCCTTACTCACCTGTGCCGGGCCGTCCCATGATGATCTGCTTGCGTGGTGCGGGGTGAGGAGAATCAGCTGGCAGTATGAGCGGCAGCAGGGCAGTTGGAGTGGGGTGGCAGGCTACCGGCTGCGGCAGCCCCCACTCAGAGGCATCCTGGTGTCCCTCAGGTTTCCTCTCCCGCTCCCGGCCTCCAAAGCCAGAGGAGGACAGGATGGAGCCCGATGAGGTGGGCATGGTAGAGGGGCTGGACAGGGCAGCGTGGCCCATTGAGGCTGGAGTCAGAGACTGGGAGGAGACATCAAAACATGTTTTTTGTGTTAATTAAGATTGCAACCTTTCTTCTTTTTTTTTTTTGGAGGTGATAATTGTTGGGTTTTTGTATTTAAGAACAGAGGAAACAGGAAGAGGAGGAAAGGCTAAGAAAACATGGTGACATACAGAACTTTACATGATACATGACAACACCTGACATACAGTCTTTAAACAGCAGCTAATAATGACACTACTTCCATATATCACTGTTGACTTAAGAGCAAGATTGGTTTCAAAGGTTTCTAAGTTAATTTTATGATGACAAATCCAAGCTGCAAGCAAAGGATTTTGAGGGCCACCTTTAAGGTCTATCACAGTTGGTATTTGACACAAAAAAATATCTATAGATTTTTAGAGTATATTTTCTTATTCATTGTCAAGGTGGAGTTTCTCAGTCACTAAATCCTGGATATGAATCATCCTAAATATCAAAACAACATTCTCACATACAGTGATTTTCCTATCATGTTACTATATTAAGTCTGGTACCATTGCAACACCAAGGTAGCTATGACATAAAATTGCAATGACAAAGATTATAATATAGAAAAAACATTCTTACCGAGCTGGAGGTGACCAGGACCAGTGTGGATGTGGGGTTTCTCAGCAGAACTGCCCCGTTGGTGGTGGCCCCGTTGATGGGGACGGGGACCTGCAGGCCGGGTGTAGCTGTGTGTTGGGGCTGACTGTGCTCTCTGGACCTGCTCCTCTCCCTCCTCCCTAACGGTCCATCCGAGAACTTGGCAAGGGGGACATCAGGGTTTCGAACGATGACTGGGGAATCACGGAGGGGCACGATGCGGCGTGGGGACGGTTCCTGGGGCAGTGGTGAGGGAGGAGTGGGAGAAACAAGCATGGGTGGAGGGGTAGAGGCAGTGGAGGACGGTGGCCTGCTGGTGGCGCTACGAGGCCGGGGGAAGGAAAGTGAGGAAGGGGTCGTGGGCTGACTCTGGGGGGAGAGGACTCTGAAGGCGGCAGGGCTGTGTCCCAGGGTTGGGTCTCCCACCATAACTCCCCCTAACAGCTGCTGATGCTCAGGTTTGATCAGATAGTCCTGGATTGTAGGCAGCGGGGGGGGCGGGTGGTTGTCGAGCTTCCTCTTGCTGGGGCTCATGGGTACTGTGAAAGTGAGATTGGTCTGAAATGTGGGCACGATCCCCGACAGGTGGCGCTCTCGCTCGACACCTGGTGTGCCCATCTTAGTGCCGCTAAGCTGACGGTGGCGGCGTGGAGTAAGCAAGGCAGGAGCCGTGATGGGGCTGAAATTAGCAGGGCGGAAGCCGAAGAGCGGAGAGGGTGAGGGTGATGGGGTAGGGGAGAAGGGTGACTGGTTGGAGATAGGGGAGTATGAGGGTGTACCTGAGCGGGAGCCCCCCAGAGAGACCAGCATGGTCGCTGCCTCACACTCGTCAAAGTCAAATCGAGAGAGGTCTTGGGGGAGCAGGGAGGGAAGGACCAGGCGGGGGCGGGAGTCTCCCCCGCGGCTGCTTGCCTCGCTGCTCTCGCGTGACGTCTCGTCCCAGTCGAACTCTGAGCTTGCTCTCCCACCACTCATTCGGAGGTCAGACGGCGTAAGGGTCCCCGTGCTGCTGGCTCCGCCCCGTTCCCGGCCACCTCCGCTGGCCTCCATCTCCTTGGTCCTCATGGAGAGGTGTCTGGAGCAGTATCCCCGGCGCTGAGACTCTTTGGAGCAGCCCTCCCTGGAGCACAGCCTCCTCCATTGCTTTCCGTTGAACTTCTTACGGATGCCCGTTGGCGTGCACACCACATCTCCCTTCTTGTACTTTTGCTGGGCAGCTGTCAGAGGGGTGCGAGAACGTGAGGAAGAGGAGGATGTTGAACCCGATCCGGATCCACCGCCTCCTCCTCCACCGGAAGCACCTCCTCCTGAGGCCTTCTCTACTCTGGAGGATGCAGTGGAAGAAGAGATTGGAGGGAGCTGAGGGGAGTTAATGACTGCTGCAGTTGTTGGGTCAAGGCCTATTAGGACAGGTGATGGAGGGCAAAGGGGGTTCAAAGCCAGGTGGGCAGTGGGTATCCCGATACCCCGCACCACAGACAAGTGGTTGAGGTAGCCAGGCGGGGGCTTAGAGACAATGTGGCGGTGTTGGGGAAGTGCCATTGGTTTTGCCCCAGGTAGGATGGCCCCCATTGGGAGCATGTTAAACAGGGACACCTCCATGTCTTCTTCAGGGGTGAGTGGCATGTACGGGTGGTGTTGCTGCTGTTGTTGGCGATGCTGCATTGCAGAGTTCTCCCTTTCTCGCTCTCTTTCCCTCTCTCTTTCCTGTTGTCTCTGGAGGTCCCTCTCCCTCTCTACGTCTTGCTCTATTTCCCACTCTCTGCTTGGTGCCAGGCTGAGCACGGACACCGGGGTTACTGGGGTGGGGATGTTGTGGCCCAATGTGGAGGAAACAGGGACGGTGCCAGGGTAGGGGATTCCTCTCCCCACGCTGGGCGTCATTCCCCGGCTCAGACGACACACCTCCTGCTCCACATCTATCTCCTCCCTGTCCTCCCGCTCCCTTTCTTTGTCTCTGACCTCCTCGTCTCCATCTTGTCCTCCTCCAGGAGGCAGATCCAGGTCCCAAGGTGGAACCAGGAGCCTGAGTGTCTGTCGGGACACCCACACTGCCTGGGGGCCCACACCTGTCCCACTGCCTTCTTCTTCCTCCTCCACAGAGTCAGCTCTTTCCTCGGACAGCAGGACACGGTAGCGGTTGGCAACAGCAGGGTGTGTGTCCACCTGGGTCACCACACCTTCCCGGTACCACTGCCACTGGCCCTCGCTGCCCTCCTCGTTGCCAAATGGCACGCATACACGAGTGCCAATAGATATTGGATGTACACCAGGAGGCTGGGCATCTAGTATAATGTCTACCACCCCTGGTGGGCTGTCATGTCGATACGGATAACGGCACAGCGTCTTCTCACCATTCAGCTGCACCTCCAGGCTTCCAAATTCACCGCTGACCTTGCGGACGACTCCAGCCCGGAACACCAGATCTGAAAATCCTTCATCCCTCCTTTCACCTCCTCCATCCTCGTCCTCTCTTCGCCTGAGCTGGCGGGCAAGGATACGCTGATTCTTCAGCCCTTTGGCCAGGGCATCAGACAGAGCATCAGGGAGACTGGGTGGAGCATGTGAAGACATCTGCGTGGGGGCGTGTGACTCGCCGACTACCTCCAGGTCAGCTGAGTGCTCGCTTGCAGTGTCTGTAGAGGAGCAGCGAGGCAAGGGGCTGGGCAACACTCGCTCTACATCCCTCACCCCTTCACATCCTGGTGGTCTGTCCCTGTCCCCTCCCAGCGTCAGGGTAGGGGGTCCTGGGGAGCTGCACTGAGGCCCCTCCCTGCCAGCGGTCCTGCTGTGGAAGTCGTCCATCAGGCTCCGGCTCTGACTGATGCCATCAGAGTGGGAGACACAGATGTCGCTTCCTGAACCCGTTGACCCGTGGTTGATGACACCACCACTAAGAGAAAGTGGAGGAGGCGTGCTGGAGGAAAGGTTGCTATGGTTACCAGTAGCAGACAAGCAGTGTTCAGAAGTGTACTTCTTCTTGGGAACGCGGGCTTTAAAGGTGGCAGTTTTTCGGCTGGATGCGGGGTTTGGGCTGTTGTTGGCGCTGGGCGTACTACTGTTACTACAACTGCTACCCGCACTGTCAATGCTCACAGCTGACCTCCCTGATCTGTCGTCTGAAGATGTCAAAATCTTCCCAGAATCCATCACAAGCGACACTGTCGTTTCTGACAGTCCTTCTCTGTGAAGCCCCTCCCCCTCTGAAGTGTCCCGTGCTCTAAGTAGATCCGTCGTTATGGACTCTGAATGTGAATTAGGAGAAAATGCAGAGGAGGGTTTTCGGTTTTGTGGGGATCTGCTTCTGTCTCTGCTCTCGTCTGAGTCTCTCTTCTCCCCTCCTTCTGGGGCATCCCCCGCTCCGCGACGCTTTCCCCCTTTGGCCCGGGTGGAGGGAGGAGAGCGCCGGCCCTGCTTTTTTATCGGCTTCATCTTTTCATCTAGCTCGCCTTTTCCTCCAAACAAGTATTTTATTTATTTATCCCAGAGATTTTCTTTGGCGTTCCTGTGTTGCTCTGCCTCGTTTTTATCTTCTTCTTCTTCCCCCTCCTTTCTAGTCTCTCTATTTTCCTCCTCTGCCGGGGCCTCCCTCTCTCATCCTGTCTTGTCTTGGTTGTGCGACTTCGGCACTTGCCCACCTTATTCCAGAGACTCTGAAAGAAATGCAACAGGGAGTGTGAGTTACTCATGAAACAAACACATTCAGACATGCACAAAAGCCCATTCAGCACCAACGATAGCTACTAACTGCACGGCTATGAGAGTAAAACTGACTGATTTCATTAAAATTACACATCTTTGAAAACATTTATGTGACATGAAATAAATTCTAAATAAAAGCAAAGCAAACAGGGAGTTTATGATTACAGGCATTATTAAAAATAGCAGGAGTACATTTAAAATAATCCTGAAAAATGTATTCCCTGCTAAATGATGCATCACCGTACTATAGTAGGAATACAAATGACTCATCTACAAATTCATTGCACATTATTTTATTACATAACAGGCTCTACTCACATTACACACGGCCTGCATCCATACCAGGTACACATTGAAAACAGGAGGCCATGTTGTAGGGTAAACACAATGTAGGCTTACACACAGTATGGAAATAGTGAGGAGCAATTTGCCCAGACAAGCCTTTCTGCATGCACACGCACTCTCTCACACACACACTACTTCTTGGCCGGGGCAGTAGAGGCGGGGGAATTCCTTCTTCGCTCGCATACTGAAACCCTCCCTTCTCTCTCTCTGTCTCTCTTTCTGTGGCGACCTTTATCTATGTATTTCAAAGCAGAATCAATCCGCCCCTACAAACTCCATTTCCTGTGGAAGACCATTACCTAACTTCCCCTTACTTTATTCCTCCCTCTCTTTGCTACTATTACACTTTCATTCTTATCCCCTTCTTGCCTTTTTCTCTCTGATATCGATTTCCTTCTCTCTTTTTCTCTCCTCTTCTTTCACGTCGTCTCTATCCTCATTTTGTGCTGCAGTCATCCAGAGTTTTTCCGAAATAAATAGTTATTCCACATCAGAGTCATTCGGTATTGCTGTTAGCCACGGCCAGTCATTCCAAATATCTCCCCATCGGACTCATTCACAGTTCTGCCTCTGCTTTAGAAACTAAAACAGATTGATTTTGCTGACTTGTTGAAGGGGAGGCTGTTGTCATTTTCCTGGTTTGTTTGCTGTGTGGCTGATACGCGCGGGACTCGCCTCAGGTCCTAGCTGCTGTGTACTCTACCTCATTTCTTCCAATACAAGTCGAGTCTCCACAGAGCTACGAGCACCAGAAAGATGTTGACAACCAGTGGGACTAGAACACCTCCCATATGCTTCAAAAAGCTTATTTAAATGTATTTTGTAGCCAGGTAAAACATATAACACAGGTGGGAATAAAGTGACAAACCTAGATGTATTCATGTATTTTATTATTTAGTTATTTCACCGTCACTGTCAAACTGTTCTAGATTTGATGCCCATCACCCACCACTCTGCATGTATACTGTCAGTGACTGTTTGTCTGTCTGCAAACTTCCATGTCTGCCTGTCTGTCCCTGTTTCTACATCCGTCCTCCCACAGGTCTCTTTCTCTCTGTCTGCTTGTTTCTTTTCTCTTCTGCAGCCTTCCTGTTTGTCTGCGAGAGCCCGCATTCATTCAGGTCCTTTTAATATCTGCCACATCATATCGGCGAGAGAGAAATCCATTTTCAGAGATGAGTGCCGCCTGTCTCAAGGCCACACACACACAGCAAACATCTATGTGATGGTAGTTGATCGTTCACACAGAGGGCTAGTAATCTAATAGCATCACTGTGCTCTATGTAAATCCCTATTTAGGACAGAGCAGCCGTAAGAGCAGCCGCCATAAAATAATTTGGCAGCCGTCCTTACTTGGTCACGATAGAGGTATGCTACGTGTGTTTACTCAGCAGTGCAATGTGTACAACAGCTGGTGTCAGAGTCATGGCCCTAATGATAAGAGCTTAAAGAGAAACTGACGCAACTCACGCTTCCCTCTGTGAAACATGGAGTAAGGAAGTCCATATGGAAGCTATAGAAGAACTCCTATGTTTAATGTCCAGTGATCAAAGCACAGCACAGTTCATTGAATATAGATAGCGCACAAGGTTACCAAGTTCAGTCATATTTTATTTGCAGAACAGCTTTTAACTTATAGTGGAGGACGCAGCAAATACAAAGTAAACATGATTGCAGGCAATATCGAGCTGATATAAGTCATGTGCAGTAACAAAAACATGACTACCACTCTAGATGCATAATTTAGATTAGCTAAGCAGGGGTCCAGGTTAAAGTAATGGTTAAGGCACTTTTTCAACCGCAACTGGGCTACAACAATACTAATAACAACTTGAAAACGCAACTGATTCTATTATGAGGTATACATTGAGTGAACTTTATATTGTGTATACAATATTATATAGGCTATACAATTACATAGACCATCTACATTTGAACATTATTGCCTTACATAAATTATGATTAACCTGGGCATGCAGAGCCTCACTTTTACAGAACTTTAAGTGCCTTATGGTATGGTAGGTACAAGTTGCTAAATCCTTTTTAATGGCATGTCTAACACTAACTTCTAATATTGAAAAGTGTTTTAATTGGCAGAGAATATCTTTTAAAGGTGTATAACAGGGTTAATATGGTGCATTATTGACATGCAAGGGTGTTAAAATATATAGGCATACATAATTATATAGCAGAGCATTTAACATCTGATCAGTTTATGGGCCAAAGCACAAAATGCAAACTACGGGAGGTGATGTCATGTAGTTTAGCTGGATAGTACCGTGTATGTGTCAAGCCCTCGTAGTACAGCGATTACTACCAGTTTTACTCCACAACACAGCAGGCCGTAGTGTGCAGCCACACAGGCCTCGAATACACACAAGGCCGCTAGGAAATCCTCAACTCCCGGATACCGGGAAATAACCGGTTTAGCGTGCATATTAACACGTAATAACATGTAATACGGCCCGTATTCCCCGTGCTGCATGACGGTGTGAAATGTCCCAAACCGATAAACACGTTAACTTTGTTAATCCACTCCACAACGTTACACACAGCACACCGACTAAGAAACAGCAGACAAAGTCGGCTTGTTTGGCCCATCCGAAAGTGACAGTCGTCGGGAAATATAGCTAAAGCTACGCGGGTAACTTTGTAATGACACTCGTCGTAATTTGCATTATGGCAACCGAGATACAAGAAGGAGAAAGTGTCAATATGTCTGGCCACAAACTATCCAAGGAGAAGGCCCTCGAGCCCCCCTCAAAAACACATGAATTCAAACAGCCACGTTGATTCATGAAAAAGAGGAAGAAGAAGAGAGAGTAGGAGGAATGACAAGCTAGTTTTCGGGGTTTTTATACAGCACAGGGGAAATGATAGTTGTTGTAGGAAGTCCAACGGCAGTTGTGGCGTTGAATTTATTTCTAGTGGAAAAGTTTCAAGCTCACTATCCGCACCGCTCCCTTTTTTTCTCGCAGAAGACACCCAATCCGCCCTCTACTACTGCTCTCCGTAGGCCAGCCAGATATCGGAAAATCATCAGCTCAACTGCTAATACTGCTTATGGTCACAGTAAACATGAACAACGTTAGCAGCTCGACAAAAAGCACAACAAGCCCCACTGCAGTGCTGCAGGAGAAAGATTTGTGGGAAGCTTATACTCACCAGAGCTAATATAGTACCCCGACGTGGTTCTCTGCTGCGTCCGCCGGATGAGATAGGGCAGGGTGGCCGGTCGTCCGCAGCTGCCAATTAGCGGCCGTTCATGTTTCTCCGGCAAAGCAACTTAAAAGGAGGAAAAACTACTGCCCTGTACATTCTACTCTACAGTCGCAAAATGGTGAATGAAGCCCCAAAGCCTTGACAACCAGCCCGCGCGGCCAATCGCCGAGCAAGAACGCGTACAGTAGCCAACAGGATTCCCAGGAAGGGGAGCGGGGGCGGGGCCACGCGTCAAAGTAAATTTGACGGAAGGCACGAAGAAGCCAATCACCGTGTGGGAAAACACAGAACAGCTGTTGGGAGCGAGGCTGAGGCGGCCAATGGGCCTCCTCTGTGGGCATGTCTGTGACTTTATACAGACACGCAGGACGGGGTTGAAATCTTTCTTTCTTTCTCCTTTCATCCCCTCATCATTTGTCTGTAAATGTGAAAACGGGCGTAGACACAGCGGGGGCCGTCTGCCTTTTTAAAACATCTTATTTCAGTCGACAAAAATGACATTACTATCATAACAATTATTAATCAATATGTTATGTCCCAAGCTGTCTCATTATTAAAACTTTAGCTCACACTAACAGAAACAGCTTAAATTTTATTGCGTTTTACTCTGTTCGCTATTCATTTATTTATTTATTTGTACCATGCAGGTTCTTAACTATGATCCATGTGATCCACAGGTTGAGTTCAGTTTCAGAGGAACCGCAAGAGAACACCAACTCCCATATTCTCATGCTTCCTTTCTCTCCATCTCCCCTCACAAACTCTCTCACACCCTCCCAACTAAGTCCCGCCTTCACCGCCAATCAGGACAGCCGCTGGAGGGCATACGTCACCATAGCCGCGTGTGATTGGTTGAGAGGCCCGGGGTCTGCAGGCCAATGACCGAATGCTGCGGTGAGGTCATTATGCTTGTTGCCATCAGCTTGGCCAAACAGGAAGAGTGAAACCCCAGTGAGTAAATTGGTCCAAACGTAGGATTATGGCTCTTAAGAGAGTGACCCATATACACTGTGGGCCTCCCCTACACACACACACACACACACACACACACACACACACACACACACACACACACACACACACACACACACACACACACACTTTGAGCGGGCAGGGAGATGTGCAAGTGTAAGAGCAGGTACACACTGTTATACACTGATGAATACAAGACAACATGCTAACAGGCTTATGGGAAAAACACAATTAAACATGCATGAGTGCACACATGCAAAAATACTTAAAAATAAAAACATGCCTGTGCGACACACACACACGAAAAACCACACACACTGACACAGTGGCATCCTGCTGCGATTTAATAAGACACTAATGGTGTGTGGATTGCTGTGTAGCAGTGCGGCTCGCTGTTTCTATAGCTTACAAGCACAGATGGCGAGTTTGGTCAATGATGATACAGAGCTGGCTGATTGCGGCATTGCAGTCTGACTGGAACACACACACACACACACACACACACACACACACACACACACACACACACACACACACACACACACACACACACACACACACACACACACACACACACACAGGCGGGCGGGTTCACTTGCCACAGTTACACACTACTGGGTGCACGCATACGAGCAGGCACCTACACACATAGACTAGTAGCAGGCGCAGTGGAGTTATAACAGGCCTGGGTGTTACATAAGATGTACGTGTATCGGACACACACACACACACACACACACACACACACACACACACACACACACACACACTGCACCCAGGCGTGTGCAATCAAATACACACACGTTTTGTGTATACTATGCAGACTTTACAACACAAACATACAGACATGCACTGTTGCACACACGAGAAAGTCACCACTCACACATAAACTCAGCTTTGACATATTTACTTTACACATATCATGGCTGTAACATGTACAACGTGTGACTCATACATCTGTGAAAAAAGCACCACAACACATACAGACACATGTAAGTGCAGAGTGAGTGGGATCTCCAGACATCTCCCACACCCCTGAAAGTGTAGCACTGCAGTCTCTGTCTCCGTCAAACTGACTGCTCATTCAGCGCAGACAAGTGTACATTCAGAAATGTGGGGCGAGTGCAGCGAGAACGCAACTTTGAGGGGTGGCTGGTTTCGTAAGGCGCCGTCGAGAGAGACATTAAATATACCCGATATTTAAGTCTCAGAGAAGCTTTAGGGTGAGACTGGAAATGAAAGCGAGTAGGAAGACTCTAATGGATAAAGGTAGACATGAGACAGACATTGAAAAGAGTGATAAGACATGAATCATGCCAGCGACAGGAAGAGGGAGAGAGAAGCAGAGAGAAATGGGCCAGAGAGGTAGACTGAGAGGAACTCTTTGCTGTCAGAAGTACGAGTAGTTTGTGAATGAGCGCCATAAATCCGGCTAGTATTAGTGTACTCTGAGCACTTCTAAGAATGAGGTAGAGAGCTACAGCTAAGCCCCCCAATCCCAGTCACTTACACTAAATACATTATGGCCACTTAACTGCTAAACAGCTCCCGGGACCCTGCACTGCCTGACCCAGCACTCTAACACTCTCTATTTCAAGAGTGTGTGTGTTTTAAAAAAAGATCAAATGGAGAGTGAGAGATAGACCAGATGAGCCCAACTCTACTGTTCTCCATCCTGCCTGAAGTTTTGAGGTCGAGTAGATGTACGGTATATTAAACATCCTACACCTGTGCCGAATAATGAAATCTGAGATGAGTGTGCAGTCCGTGTAGCCACTATCAGTAGAATTATCTAAGTGGTTTGTAAATTAAATGTCTTTCTGAATGAGTATTCAGAATATTGTATTGGTTGTGTCCCAAATCCCTTTTTCTAAACTGTGAAATGTATACTGTGTAGTAACATTGACCGCTAAATGAAAGGCATGTCCGGTATCAGTTTTGAATTGCACAATTGAGGGGTTGACATGCTCGGAAAGCTACAGCCAGTAAGTGGCTGTTTCCAAGGTCAAGAATGAACTGTCAGGCTAAACGTTTGGACCGAGGCCTTGAAAGGCGCTCATGAATAAAGAAAAGCTTGAACATCTAAAGTGTAACAGAAAGCTAACCCAATGTACTGATGAGGGACGCGGTCTAGAGTTTAAGAACAATTAAACAGTGGTGAAAGGCGTGCTCAGATTCTTACCTTAAAAGTAGTAATAACAACACTGCAACATACTCGGTTACAAGCAAAACTTTGGCATTCAAAAGTATAAAAGTATTATCAGCAGAAACAATCTGTAAACCAAACATTGACATGTCATCCTTCACATCTTGGTAACATCTGAGATGCCAGACCGAGTTAGCTTGGTTTTATAATGACCCAACAAACAAACATGTCCAATGTTGCTTCTCTTTTACAATGAACGCAGCTAGCAGAACTAGTTCCAGAAGTTGGCTCATGTTTACAACACTGACAGCTCGTCTCTTTAGCGCCTCCCAACTCCCAAAATGTTTCAAAATGAACGTAGAAAGATGGCTAATGAATACTCACAATGGTCAAGCTAGCTGGTTGAAATGTCGAATGATGCGCAATGATTGCACAGTATGCATAGATCCCCCCTAGCCTTAAGTTGATTTAGCAAACAGGTTAGTTAACAGTTCCTTATGTATATGTCCAGCAGTAACAGCAACATGATAATTTATTTATTGTGAGCCGTGATTATGTCTAACCATTGTTGAATCTAATACAGTGTACAGCATGTACCCATTTTTTAGCCGAGTTTTTGGTCTGCTAGTCTCTATTCTGTCTGCTTTTTTACGGCTGTTTCCCTGAAATCAGCTGTCTGCTGAAAACAAGGGCTAGCCTGGACAGAAAAACAAAGAATTGAAACACATCATAAAGATCTGTCAAATGGAATGGATCTGTAGATTCGGCTGACAATTATTTTTAAGTTCATCACTACAAGCGACTGTTTTCATTTGTGATTTCCTCACAGTTTCTTTCACACCACAGACGTACGAGTTGTTTGTAATAGTCTAGTTTGGAGATACAGCAATACACACAACATATATTTGGTTTGAAATAGCAGACTAACATTAAATGTTTGTTCACTTGCCTCCCTTCCATTATGGATACCTGTAACTATTTGAAAAACAAATGCCTTCCTGTGCCTGATGTTAATTCTTTAAAGTGACTGGCTAGTAAATCAAGTTATTATCGCACACATGTATTTGGTTTAGTATCATATTTCCCTCAACTATTGTTTTACAATTTGTGTTGTCCTCTTACAACATGACTAAGTAGTCTGCATTTAAGGCATTTTCTTTACTTTCCTGTTTTATTGCGTTTTATCCATTAGAGTTTTTATAATATTCGACTCAAACAGTGCTACTGTTCATATTTGCACCGGTTTTTTATACATTTTACAATACCTGTGCCATCTACTGTTGCTCAGTAGATGGCGCTGTATCCTAAAACTAAATTGCACTGGGCTATGTAGAACTATTATGTTCTATCTTTCTACAAAGGATTGTTTGAAACTACCTCTTCGCTCATACATGTATTCAGTTACAGTAAGAAACGTACATGAACAAACAAATTGTAAACCACATGATAAAGATCTGGTATGATGTGAAAATATATTGAAAAGAAACACATACCATACAGTCCAGAATGGGTAATCGTTGCTTTGTGACAGGAAGAGCAGACACAACTTTCAAATGATTGGAGTCAAACGGACTAAAAATGATCCAAGACCTTTATTTGGCAGGCTCAAATGTCATGATGTCCTTTGATGGGATGAGGTCTAATTTCAATCTTGATACAAATCATTGCTTTAAAATATTTCAAGCTTAGAATCTTTGTTAAAGTTAATCAAAATGGTGCATTTTCGAGGCCCCAACACTCATCTTTGGAGAAAATGATGATAAAGTTTTATAGTTTTCTTTCTCATTTGAGAATTCACATTGTAGGTTTAATGCATGGAAGGACAACCTGCAGGCTGAAGTTTCGGATGAAAATTGGAAAAAAGCTTGCGTCGCTGCTCATACCAGGTCTATGAATACACGACTGTAACTAATACAGTATAAATGGTTGATGCGAACATATGTGACCCTGGTGGATTTTAATCAATACAACAAAAATATACCAGATATATGCACACAATTGTTGCGACGGATGTTGTCAGGCGTCCCA